TACCGAGGCCCGATCGCTTCTGCCAAATTTAAGGCCCGGCCCTGTCCGAAACCCGAAATCAGAAATAACTGTTAGTAAATCCATTAGCTGCTCCTCTCTGTCTGCCACTAGCTCCCTGCGCGCAGCTCGCTCTGCATGCGCTCTGCTCATGGTGCTCTGAGTCTGTGAGTATCCATAGCAACGGCTCCGCTTGGGCTGCTCTCCTCAATGAAGAGACATGAGAGAGCAGTTAGCTGCTTTTCGTCACTCTAAACTCTGGCAAAACTCAACGAACATTATTATTTTCTGTGAAATAATCAGTCCTGTTTTATATTTGAGCAGAGCACTAGCAAATGGCTCAGCTTGTTAGTGATCAATTTAGTGATACTCGAGCCCTACCCGTAACCTAGTTATTGATGAAAAAACAGGTCCTACCCTGCCCTAACCGGATGGATGAATAATGTCGGGGCACGTCGGGCTCGGGTCGGCTAGCAGAGCTTTAGCTGCTATGACACAGAAAAAGCTGAGACACACACACACACACACACACACACAAACACACAGAACAGGTACATTGCTGACAGAGACAGTGTCACCTGCCATGCATCACCTCAGCTCTGTCAGCCCTTTGTGTGTCTGTCTGGGCCTGACAAGCTTTCCTGACAGATCACTGTTTGTTGTTTTGTTCTTTGTGTTTCAGGTCATTAAACCCCCTCCTCCTGCCCCTGCTCCCCCCCGGCCTCCACCACCCGTGAGTACAACACAGACACACACACACACACACACACACACACACACACACACACACACAGGTGTGTCCGTGCCAGGTCCTCAGATGGAGACTCTAAGAGAATAACAATGAAATCAGTGGAACAAGGCAGCCAGGGCTCACATTTCATGTTTCTCATACAGCATTACAGCATTACAGCATTACAGCATCCAGCATTACAGCATTAGAGTATCCAGCGTTACAGCATCCAGCGTTACAGCATCCAGCATCCAGCATTACAGCATCCAGCATTACAGCATTACAGCATTAGAGTATCCAGCGTTACAGCATCCAGCATTACAGCATTAGAGTATCCAGCGTTACAGCATCCATCATTACAGCATCCAGCATCCAGCATTACAGCATTAGAGTATCCAGCATTACAGCATCCAGCATTACAGCATTAGAGTATCCAGCATTACAGCATCCAGCATTACAGCATTAGAGTATCCAGCATTACAGCATCCACACACACACACACACACACACACACACACACACACACAGGTGTGTCCGTGCCAGGTCCTCAGATGGAGACTCTAAGAGAATAACAATGAAATCAGTGGAACAAGGCAGCCAGGGCTCACATTTCATGTTTCTCATACAGCATTACAGCATTACAGCATTACAGCATCCAGCATTACAGCATTACAGCATCCAGCATCCAGCATACAGCATCCAGCATTACAGCATTACATCATCCAACATTACAGCATTACAACATTACAGCATCCAGCATTACAGCATTACAGCATCCAACATTACAACATTACAGCATTAGAGTATCCAGCGTTACAGCATCCAGCATCCAGCATTACAGCATTAGAGTATCCAGCGTTACAGCATCCAGCGTTACAGCATTACAGCATTAGAGTATCCAGCGTTACAGCATCCAGCATCCAGCATTACAGCATTAGAGTATCCAGCGTTACAGCATCCAGCATTACAGCATTACAGCATTAGAGTATCCAGCGTTACAGCATCCAGCATCCAGCATTACAGCATTAGAGTATCCAGCGTTACAGCATCCAGCATTACAGCATTACAGCATTAGAGTATCCAGCGTTACAGCATCCAGCATTACAGCATTACAGCATTAGAGTATCCAGCGTTACAGCATCCAGCATCCAGCATTACAGCATTAGAGTATCCAGCGTTACAGCATCCAGCATTACAGCATTACAGCATTAGAGTATCCAGCGTTACAGCATCCAGCATTACAGCATTACAGCATTACAGCATCCAGCGTTACAGCATCCAGCATCCAGCGTTACAGCATCCAACATTACAGCATTAGAGTATCCAGCGTTACAGCATCCAGCGTTACAGCATCCAGCATCCAGCATTACAGCATCCAGCATTACAGCATTACAGCATTAGAGTATCCAGCGTTACAGCATCCAGCATTACAGCATTAGAGTATCCAGCGTTACAGCATCCATCATTACAGCATCCAGCATCCAGCATTACAGCATTAGAGTATCCAGCATTACAGCATCCAGCATTACAGCATTAGAGTATCCAGCATTACAGCATCCAGCATTACAGCATTAGAGTATCCAGCATTACAGCATCCAGCATTACAGCATTAGAGTATCCAGCATTACAGCATCCAGCATTACAGCATTAGAGTATCCAGCATTACAGCATCCAGCATCCAGCATTACAGCATTAGAGTATCCAGCGTTACAGCATCCAGCGTTACAGAATCCAGCATTACAGCATTACAGCATTAGAGTATCCAGCGTTACAGCATCCAGCATTACAGCATCCAGCATCCAGCATTACAGCATTAGAGTATCCAGCATTACAGCATCCAGCATTACAGCATTAGAGTATCCAGCATTACAGCATCCAGCATTACAGCATTAGAGTATCCAGCATTACAGCATCCAGCATTACAGCATTAGAGTATCCAGCGTTACAGCATCCAGCATTACAGCATTAGAGTATCCAGCGTTACAGCATCCAGCATCCAGCATTACAGCATTAGAGTATCCAGCGTTACAGCATCCAGCATCCAGCATTACAGCATTAGAGTATCCAGCGTTACAGCATCCAGCATCCAGCATTACAGCATTAGAGTATCCAGCGTTACAGCATCCAGCATCCAGCATTACAGCATTAGAGTATCCAGCGTTACAGCATCCAGCATTACAGCATTACAGCATTAGAGTATCCAGCGTTACAGCATCCAGCATCCAGCATTACAGCATTAGAGTATCCAGCGTTACAGCATCCAGCATCCAGCATTACAGCATTAGAGTATCCAGCGTTACAGCATCCAGCATTACAGCATTAGAGTATCCAGCGTTACAGCATCCAGCTTTACATCAATCAGCATGACAGCATCCAGTTTGACAGCATTACAGCATGACAGCATTACAGCATCCATCATTACAGAATTACTGCTTCCATGTGTAAATCTGGATGTATTTGTGTGTGCGTGTTCTGTGTGTGTGCGTGTTCTGTGTTTGTGCATACACTCCTGACCTGTTTGTTATCCCTGTAGGAGCCAGAGGAGGATGACCACCTGCCCAAGAAGAAGTGGCCCACTGTGGACGCCTCATACTATGGAGGGAGAGGGGCTGGAGGGATCAAACGCATGGAGGTTTGACTATAAACTACGGTCATTGTTCAGTGTGGTTTGTACTGTGTGGCTCAGTTGATAAAGCATGGTGCTTGCAAAGACAAGAGTCGTGGGTTCGATTCCTTCTGGGGACACTCATATGTAAAATGTAAGCACGCGTGGCTGTAAGTCTCTTTGGATAAAAGCATCTGCTAAATGAAATCTATTTTATGATATATTATACCGGTATATACGCTGACTGTACAAAACATTAAGAACACCGGCTCTTTCCATGACATAGACTGACCAGGTGAAGCCAGGTGAAAGCTGTGATCCCTTATTGATGTCACCTGTTAAATTCCACTTTAATCAGTGTAGATGAAGGGGAGGAGACAGGTTAAATAAGGATTTTTAAGCATTGAGACAATTGAGACATCAATTGTGTATTTGTGTCATTCAGAGGATGAAGGGGCAAGACAAAATATGAAGTGCCTTTGAACGGGGTAAGGTAGTAGGTGCCAGGCATACCGATTTGTGTCAAGAACTGCAAGGCTGCTGGGTTTTTCACGCTCAACAGTTTTCCGTGTGAATCAGGAATGGTCCACCACCCAAAGGACATCCAGACAACTTGACAGAACTGTGGGAAGCGTTGGTGTCAAAATGGGCCAGCATCTCTGTGGAACGGTTTGGACACCTTGTAGAGTCCACGCCCCGACAAATTGAGGGCAGAAGGGGGTGCAACTCAATATTAGGAATGTGTTCGTAATGTTTGTACACTCAGTGTATATTATCTCAAACATCATGGGCTGGTTTTCTCACACAGAGCCTGAATCAAAACTGGATCTGCTGTCATCTGGTACTGAAATGCCACCTAGCAGTGTGCCCAGAACAGACCAGCCAGCCGCCAGGACTTCTTTTATTAAACATTCCAGATGAGAACAAACTCATACTCCAACGCTATACTGAAGCCTTGCCTGGCCTGCCAGTGACTCCAGGGGGTCTCATACTCCATGCTATACTGTAGCCTTGCCTGGCCTGCCAGTGACTCCAGGGGGTCTTCCTGGACTGGGTGTGTAGGCGTTATGTGGTCTCTGACATGATGGCTGCTGCCGTCCCACTTCTCTCTCCTCTCATCCTGCTTTTCTTAAGTCAAAGGATGGATCCAGGATGGAGGTTTGAGTACTGCTGTCGGCTTGATGTGCTTGTACTCATACAACCTTGATGCACATAGATAGATAGATAGATAGATAGATAGATAGATAGATAGATAGATAGATAGACAGACAGACAGACAGACAGACAGACAGACAGACAGACAGACAGACAGACAGACAGACAGACAGACAGACAGACAGACAGACAGACAGACAGACAGACAACAGACAGACAGACAGACAGACAGACAGACAGACAGACAGACAGACAGACAGACAGACAGACAGACAGACAGACAGACAGACAGACAGACAGACAGACAGACAGACAGACAGACAGATAGATAGATAGATAGATAGATAGATAGATAGATAGATAGATAGATAGATAGTAAAGAAAATGAGAATTAAAAACAGGTTCAGCCCCTGGTTCGACCGTGATCTGGCAGAGTTACTCCACCTCAGGAATTCCATTTGGCGAAAGGCTCGGCACACACTTACTCAGGCTGACTGGCTCTCGTTCAGGCAAATGAGAAATAAGTGCTCTCAGGCTATCCGGAAGGCCAAAGTTAGTTACTTTAAGGAGCAGTTCTCTCTCTGTGGGTCTAACCTCAAGAAGTTCTGGAAAATTGTGAAAGACCTGGAGAATAAACCCTCCTTCTCACAGCTGCCCATGTCCCTTAATGTTGATGATGTGGTTGTTACTGACATGGAGCACATGGCTGAGCTCTTTAAATCACCACTTCATTAAGTCAGGATTCCTATTTGACTCATTCATGCCTCCTTGCCCGTCCAACATTTCCTCATCTCCCAGCCCTTCTGATGCGACTAGCCCCGATGCTCCTCCCTCTTTTTGCCCCTTGCCCCGCTACAAAATTTCTCCCTGCAGGCGGTCACTGAGTCTGAGGTGCTAAAGGAGCTCCTTAAACTTGACCCCAAAACAACATCTGGGTCAGATGGTTTAGACCCTGTCTTCTTTAAGGTTGCAGCCCCTATCATCGCCAAGCCTGTCTCTGACCTTTTTAACCTGTCTCTCCTCTCTGGGGAGGTTCCCAGTGCTTTGGAAGGCAGCCGGTGCGTCCTTTATTTAAAGGGAGAAGTCAAGCTGATCCTAACTGTTATAGGTGTGTGTGTTTCCATGGCGATCATAAGAAGCTGTTCTGTATTGTAGCAGCTACAGCCTGTCGATAATTAAACACTCACCTGTTTTCTGGCGGTGCCGGTGGATTCTACCTGGCAACAGATGTGATTCATTTAATTAAACAGGATGAGCTTCAGAAACAAAAGATAGGCAATGATGTGAATCAAAACAGCAACGACAACACATAACCTGGCTATTCTTCAGGGGGTGAAGGAGAAGAGAAAACTCCCACATCGTTCTGATACCTGGTTAGCCAGTTAGTTCACTCCTATGAATTGTGGGTAACAATCACTCTGTATGTTTACTTTTCAGGACGGTGCAATGTCACAGAACGTTAACAACAACATTATGTTGAACCTGAATTGACCCCTGACCCCTGTCTGTTGTGTCCTATCCAGGTGCGTTGGGGAGAGAAGGGCTCTACAGAGGAAGGGGCGAGGCTGGAGAAGGCTAAGAATGCTGTAGTGTCTGTTCCTGAGGAGGTGGAAGAGCCCATGATGGCCAGACGACCCCCCAAACCCACCCCCACATACCACCAGCGCCAGGAGTCCAAATGGTATACCCCTATAAAGGTACGTTCATGACGATGTCCCAAATGGCACCCTATTCCCTTAATGATCTTGTTTTGGTCCGAGCCTGATGAGGCCCAGTCAGTTGGATTCCATTAATGATCTTGTTTTGGTCAGAGCCTGATGAGGCCCAGTCAGTTGGATTCCATTAATGATCTTGTTTTGGTCAGAGCCGGATGAGGCCCAGTCAGTTGGAGATGGTTTCACTATTGTTTTCACTCCACAGATTCAAATACAGTAAATTACATTGTAATCGCGAAAGTGTGGATTCCATACAATTGTTAGTGACATTATCTTTATTTTCCGTAAATACATACTGTGCCTTCAGAAAGTATTCATACCCCTTGACTTTTTCCACATTTTGTTGTGTTACAGCCTGAATTTAAAATGGATTCAATGTAGGTTTTGTGTCACTGGCCCACACACAATACTCCATAATGTCAAAGTGGAATTATGTTAAGTTGAAATGTCTTGAGTCAATAAGAATTCAACCCCTTTGTCATGGCAAACCTAAATACATTTGGGAGTAAAAATGTGCTTAACAAGTCACGTAATAAGTTGCATGGACTCACTCTGTGTGCAATAATAGAGTTTAACATGATTTTTTAATGACTACTTCATCTCTGTACCCCACACATACAATTATCTGTAAGGTCCCTCAGTTGAGCAGTGAATTTCAAACACAGATTCAACCACTAAGACCGGGGAGGTTTTCCAATGCCTCGCAAAGAAGGGCACCTATTGGTAGATGGGTAAAAAAAAAAAAAAGCAGACATTGACTATTCCTTTGAGCATGGTGTATCAATACACCCAGTCACTACAAAGATGCAGGTGTCCTTCCTAACTCAGTTGACGGAGAGGAAGGAAACCGCTCAGGGATTTCACCATGAGGCCAATGGTGACTTTAAAACAGTTACAGAGGTTAATGGCTGTGATAAGTGAAAACTGAGGATGGATCCACAACATTGTAGTTACTCCACAATACTAACCTAATTGACAGAGTGAAAAGAAGGAAGCCTGTACAGAATACAAATATTCCAAAACATGCATCCTGTTTGTAATAAGGCACTAAAGTAAAACTGCAGAAAATGTGGCAAGAAATACAAAGCGTTATGTTTGGAGCAAATCCAACACAACATATCACTGAGTACCGGTTTTCATATTTTCAAGCATGGTGGTGGCTGCATCATGTTATGGGTATGCTTGTCATCAACAAGGAATAGGGAGGTTTTTCTGAGTTTTTTGTGGATAAAAAGAAACGGAATAGAGCTAAGCACAGGAAAGTTCCTAGAGGAAAAACTGGTTCAGTCTGCTTTCCAACAGACACTAGGACACAAATTCACTTTTCAGAATTGCAATAACCTAAAACACAAGGACAAATATACACTGGAGTTGCTTACCAAGACGACATTGAATGTTGCTGAGTGGCCTAGTTACAGTTTTGACTTAAATTGGCTTGAAAAGCTATGGCAAGACTTGAAAATGGTTGTCTAGCAATGATGAACAACCAATTTGACAGAGCTTGAAGATTTGAAAAAAAGAATCATGTGCAAATATTGTACAATCCAGGTGTGAAAAGCTCTTAGAGACCTGCCCAGAAAGACTCTCAGCTGGAATCGCTGCCGAAGGTGATTCTAACATGTATTGGCTCAGGGTGTGAATACTTTTGTAAATTAGATATTTCTGTATTTCATTTTCAATACATTTGCAAACATTTCTAAAAACATGTTTTAACTTTTTATTAAGGGGTATTGTGTGTAGATGGGTGAGAAATGTTTTTTTTTCCATCCATTTGAATTCATGCTGTAACACATCAAAATGTGGAATAAGTTGAGGGGTTTGAATACTTTCTGAAGGCACTGAATCAATGTTCAAGCGCAGCTGTTTCTCTTCCTGTGTTCAGGGTCGACTGGATGCGCTGTGGGCGTTGCTGCGCCGACAGTACCACCGAGTTTCTCTCATAAGACCGACCACTGCGGACAAGGTAAGAAACACCCACTGAGATTCAACCCAAACCCATAAAACCCACAACCACATGAAACCAGCTAGGAGGAACAAAACCAAGTATCGTATCATATCCATCAGTAGCAGGGATATCGTGGAGTTTCAGTCCTTTAACCGCTTTAGACACAGATCAAACCTATGCTTGCACTAAACGTCATGCTCAATGACGTCTCCATTGAGTGATTGTCTTCGTCCAGGGTTTAGGTTTAATCTTTTGTCTGTGAAACCGGCCCTAGATGAACGACACAGCCGGGTTAGTTAGAGTCCGTTGGGTTAGTTTGCTAGTGCTGTGGCGGGAGGAAGTTGACTGGAACGTGTTGTTAGCATTGTGTTGTTGTTAACTTGGGCGGCAAGTAGCTTAGTGGTTAAGAGCGTTGTGCCAGTATCCGAAAGGTCGCTGATTCTAATCCCCGAGCCGACTAGGTGAAAAATCTGTCGATGTGCCCTTGAGCAAGGCACTTTAGCCCTAATTGCTCCTGTAAGTCGCTCTGGATAAGAGCGTCTGCTAAATTACTACTACTAATACTAATAATAATAATAATAATAATAATAATAACTAATGGGGGTAAACAGCACAACAAAGTTTCACAGCAGCATCCGCAGGATGTGTGACAGGCATGGCCCTATACGGCTGTGACTGTACTGAACTACCTACTCTAACAACAACCATCTCTCTCTGTCTCACCGTCTCGCTCCGTCTCTCCCTCTCTCTCTATATCAATCAGAGAGGGGAAATGTCTTATAGTGCCACGTGTTGTTTAAGTTGAGGCTCCTGTATTTGATAAGTGCATGAACCCTTAAACCGTGTCCCATCCACCGACAGTCTCCTTCCTCTATGTTTAATACTGAAGATCTCCTGTCATTACCTCAGTCCTGTCCTCTGTGTGTGGCCTTACAGGATCCTTATACTATAAACATTTATAGAGTAACGTTCGATTGTAAACATTCAAGTGGAATAATGCTCTCTTTCCTCATCTCTCTCTCTCTCTCTCTCTCTCTCTCTCTCTCTCTCTCTCTCTCTCTCTCTCTCTCTCTCTCTCTCTCTCTCTCTCTCTCCTCTCTCCTCTCCTCCTCCATCTCTCTCTCTCCTCTCCTCTCTCTCTCTCTCTCTCTCTCTCTCTTCTCTCTCTCTCTCTCTCTCCTCTCGTCTCTCTCTCTCTCTCTCCTCTCTTCTCTCTCTCTCTCTCCTTCTGTTTCTATCTCTTTCTCTCTGTGATTATATTATAAGAACATGGTTTTTTCTAGCCAGTAGGTCAGCCAGTCAGCCTCAAGGCAGCCAATAGCAGTAACTGTACAAATTTGCAGAATATAATCCAAAGTTGCTGAGTTTCTCAACCCTGGTGCAGCCTCTCAATACTAGATACATTATATACTTCAAGTCAAGAGATGGTGTTTGGTAAACATATTTTACTGTTTAAGACAAGGTCTTGATGTCACTAAGGTAGATAAATATAAACACGTTGTCTTAGGGTTTACCGGCAGTAGTGTTTGTGTGTGTGTGGTGTGTTTGTGTGTTTGGTGTGGTGTGGTGTGGAGTGTGTGTGTGTGTGTTTATTTTTTCTTTATTTTTACTATTTTCTACATTGTAGAATAATAGTGAAGACATCAAAACTATGAAGTAACACATATGGAATCATGTAGTAACCAAAAAAGTGTTAAACAAATCAAAATATATGTTATATTTGAGATTCTTCAAATAGCCACCCTTTGCCTTGATGACAGCTTTGCACACTCTTGGCATTCTCTCAACCAGCTTCATGAGGTAGTCACCTGAAAGGCATTTCAATTAACAGGTGTGCCTTGTCAAAAGTTAATTTGTGGAATTTCTTTCCTTCTTAATGTGTTTGAGCCAATCAGTTGTGTTATGACAAGGTAGGGGGGGGTATACAGAAGATAGCCCTATTTGGTAAAAGACCAAGTCCATATTATGGCAAGAACAGCTCAAATAAGCAAAGAGAAATGACAGTTCATCATTACCTTAAGACATGAAGGTCAGTCAATACGGAACATTTCAATAACTTTGAAAGTTTCTTCAAGTGCAGTCGCAAAAACCATCAAGCGCTCTGATGAAACTGGTTCTCATGAGGACCGCCACAGGAATGGAAGACCCAGAGTTATCTCTGCTGCAGAGTTCATTAGAGTTACCAGCCTCAGAAATTGCAGCCCAAATAAATGCTTCACAGAGTTCAAGTAACAGACACATCTCAACATCAACTGTTCATAGGAGACTGTGTTAATCAGGCCTTCATGGTCGAATTGCTGCAAAGAAACCACTACTAAAGGACACCAATAAGAAGAAGAGACTTGCTTGGGCCAAGAAACACGAGCAATGGACATTAGACCGGTGGAAATGTTGTCCTTTGGTCTGGAGTCCAAATTGGAGATTTTTGGTTCCAACCGCCGTGTCTT